AGAAAAATTAGCATCTATCAAAACTACATCAGGTTTTCGATAATAATTATGTTCACTCAACATATTTTCTTCAGATTTGCAAGGAATTTCATCAGAAATATGTAAATCATTAGGAAAAGCCATACCTGGTACAATAGCATGAGAATTCTGATAAATCGGCTGATTAGAAACTGTTGTCTCGCAAGAATTCTGAGTTTCATTTAACTTTGAACTGCTATGTGACTATACACTGTCTATTGCAATCGTTGATAAAGATAAATCATTATTATAAATACTCGACTTAGTAGAATCAGAATCACAAGACTTAATATTAGTTGCAGCAAGATGAACATCGGTATTACAGACTGACTGAACATGTCCAATATCACCTCATTTAAAGCACTTAGAATTACGAAATTTACATGAATTAAAAGAGTGGAACTTGCCACTGGACAAACACTGACCAAACTTGTGCCCATCTTCATGAAATGCATTGCAACTCCTCAATGAATTATCTGCATAGCCTTGAGTATGGGTTGGGATAACGTAGTAATGTAGTGGAACGTTTTATATCCTCATGAATCATTTTACGAGATCTTCCTCCTTTACCGCATTCGAAATTTGTATACTGAACATAGTCTAGCAGTAGTTCCTTGAGAGTTGTATAAGGAAGCGAGATAGGCTTTTCCGGCATAGCCAGAGTTCTTATTAAGCTGTATGCTTCTTTTCCGATGAATGTAAGGAAATGTGCCACAATATTAACATCCTCATCATCTTCCTTGGTCATAGCCCAGATTTCGAACCTTTCAAAGTAATCCTCAAAAGCTTCAGAAGTTGAATGAATATCTAACTTTTCCATCGCAGGCTCCATCGCGACGCCAGTATAATGTTTCGAATTATTTGAATTATAGTACGAACTAAGAGTCCCAGAAATAACGCAATCGAATTAAGAAGTAAGACACAAGCACAAACGAATGTACTGTATGTGGAATTCGAAATCGAGCATTCAACAAGTACAAAGGTATCATTAGTTCATTCAAACACCGTAACTTCACAATTTCCTTCACAGAATTTTTCCATACAATCCAATATTACTATGACTGATACAAGTATTATTACCGATCTATTTAAAAACAAATAAATTTCGTCATACAAAGACACATTATTGAGAAGCTAGATTTGTAAGTCCCATAATGTATTTTCGCAAGTACAATCACAAGCACCTTGATTACAATTGCCTTGAACAAAGAGAGGCTAAAAACCAACAGCAATTTTGTTAAATGATGTTTCAGTTGCTTTTTTTCTTTGACTTAAAGGTTTAATCGCGAAACCTTGTTTGCCCCTCTGGACATCATCAGCACTTGATTCACTTAGAAATGGCCTAATTACTCGGCAAGAACCAAATCAACCTTTCCTTTGAATGGCTTATTTTCTAAAGTTTTGTTGGCATCTGGTTGACATATGACAAAGTGACTAGTTGACGTTATAGTCTACGTCGAAAAACCTACTGGTTAAAGGGAAATCCATATTTCTAGTAGTTCACCGACATTTTTCGAATTTCCTAGATTCAGAATGTCGAAAATTTTCTGATGAGGCTTGCATTTGTTAATTATGGGCATTGATATAAGTGGAAAAATCTTATATCGTTTTATACCTAGTTTAAATTTCTTTATGAATAAAAAAAATTATTCACCTTTTCTAATGTAACGTATGTAACTATTGGTACAATTTACTTTGTAGACGATATTGCATTTGTACTTATAATAACCTAAGTCTGTCTATTATTTTAGTTCATATATCAAATAACCCTCAAAAACAACAGCTAGGTTCCACAAAGAAACGACCAATATTGTAACTACCTTGTCAATGGATGGTTTACGTACACCCCAATTATTGCACATATTAACAAACATTGACGGATGATGCCAACTTACGTCACCTTTGGCGAAGGCGAGATATCCGTCTATCATTAAAAGGACGAGTATACTGCGCAGCAGTTCGTTCTGTTTTACTTTACGGCAGCGAAACATGGCCATTAAGAGTAGAAGACACCCGTAAGTTACTAGTATTTGACCACAGATGCCTTAGAAATATTGCTGGCATCTGCTGGGATCACCGGGTAAGTAATAGTGAGGTTAGACGCAGGGTATTAGGGAATGATGGTAAATCAGTTGATGAGGTTATGAATCTTCATCGACTGAGATGGTTGGGCCACGTATTACGTATGCCTGAACACCGATTACCACGACGTGCAATGCTAACCGGGGTAGGGGATGGTTGGAAAAAAGTTAGGGGTGGCCAAACCAAAACGTGGCATCAGTGCCTGAAGTCACTAACTTCTAGTCTGAGCCATGTTGGTAGATGCAGACTACTTGGTTGGGGTCCGCATGACTTTCGTAACCAATGGTTGGAGACTCTTGGTGACATGGCTCAGAATCGATCACAATGGCGTCGGTGTATACACTCCCTGTCTTCCCTTAAACTAAGAGACTAAAATAACTTCATTCTTTCTGTCTACGAACTAATTCTTTCTTCCTGTACTATATCCTTATTGCAACCTTTGACCTAACCACTCCTATGAATCCGCTGTTCATCTTGCTGTGCTAATGAGGTATGGCAACCTGGACCGATGCACATATGTGCCTGGTCCTACGTTGTAGCTGACTGACTGACTGACGGATGATATAGTACGTTTACGCGAAAGTTAAGGTTGAGAAAAATTAGATGTGGTACGAGGAAATTATGTCGCTGACTGTCGATTTAAGGAATGTAAACTAGAATGAGAAGAATTTAAGAAACATCAGCCTCACAGATGTTTTCGGTCTCAACATGAACTCATACTAATTATTCTATGAATTTACTCATTCTTTTCGATATTTCTTAATAAATAACCATTCGTACAATCTTTGGGACAGCTAACACTTCGTCTCATTTGTTATTCATCTTGATGTGCTGATACGGTACGACAACTATCTCAGATGTATATTTCACTCAGGTCCTATATTCCCCATGAATAACTGACCGACCTTCCTGTTCAGCTACACAAATATGACCATATTAAGGGAATTAAACCGTTAACTGATTATTTAATTACCTTGTGTAATTTGTAGTTTTAAAGTTATTCAGTAACCATAACTATAAATGAAACCGTCATTTTATGAAAACTAGAATTCCTTTAATAAATCATGAATAATAAGTATACGTTTACTACAGACGTTTAATGAAAAAGCTACCTGCATCTGAGTAACAGGTATAGTGCCGTGTTGCGTGCTACTTATACGGAGAGATACAAGAAGTATGTTTCAAAAGTTGGAAGTAGGATTGTTATTGACAGAAGGGGAATACGTGTAAAAGAAAAAAGCAGAAACAGGAATGAAAAGACGATGGAGCTTGCAAGCGACAATTAAACGAAGATGTGCAAATGGTGTGTTCAGTGCAATGTTCTTACGTTTCACAATACATTGGTTTACCCTACCGAATCTTTGATCATGACAGCGCTAGATTGTAACAAACTATAAGAATTTCCGAACTATTTGGTCAGCTAAAAAAATGAATAACAATCAGTGTAATTGATTGACATGTTTTCGCAATTACTTCTATGAGTGTATAAAAATACAATACAAAATACTTGTATCAAAACTTTAGGAAATACATTAAGAACTAATCCGCTCATAATCAGAAGATAACTTCTATGGTGGACTGCCATCTAGAGAGAAACTCCTTAAATTCCACAAAGTACTAGACACTTATTTTGTGCATAATTATCGATTTTTCATTATATTACTGTTATTTTTATTGAATAAAAAGACATTATCACTAGTAACATAATCCCAGTAGTAACGATTGATAAAATCTTATGATAAAAACTGACATCCCCATTATCTTATTACGATTTCAAACATGTGTTTCGTTTAAAATAAGTAGATTACCCATTTTAAGAGCTGTGTTACAGTGATGTACTTCAAACCTTTTACAATATCATAATAACTATTAAGAAAAATTTTTAGTCATCCTTGATATCGCAATGTATATTCTCAGAAATCTTCAATTTTGTTCACAAATTGTGATACTGTTCTGACTGAACATTACAATGAAAAACTATCTGGTACATAGATGTCACATCAAAAAGGTCCTCTTATCTGAATACGCTGTTATATTTTGTTGAGATGAAAAAATACCCAATTATATTTTACTAATTAAAAACGTAACTCCACCTCTTCTAGGGTTACTGCCTATCTTAAGCCCGGGTAAAGGAGAGTTAGGCATATGAGGTCAGCAACAGCACCCAGGAGAACACTTTACCGAAAAAACACGCTAACCAATAAGTAACTAAAAACGTGACAAAAACAATTAAAAGGGAGTTACAATCTTCGGTCCAGTTCTCCCTAGCAATTGTAGAAAGCAAGATGGATAAGAATGCAAGGGAAGCTTGATATGAAAGGCAGAATAACAATGTACGCTGTCCATTGTTTCGCTAGTCTTTCGATATGTTCTACTATGTTAAAAATACTTGATTTCGAGGAGTATCTTATGGATTCGTCATATTTATGACATACCGATATGTAAACTAATATGCAACGATTTAAGTGAATAAAATGAACTTGACTGGAAATCAAATGGATAAGAAATCTTTGTCAGTCATGCAGTTTTTGTAGAGACACTAAATTTTCCACTGTTTTCTATTTTACTGTACGCTGTAAACGATTATTTTCGATAGCTAATAATTATCGATTGACTATTTTACTCATTATACAATCTTACGTCGTAGTTCATGAAACGACAACAGTTTTTCCTATGGTACTTAATGCTATGAAGCCCATAAGACGTTTTACATTTTTGTTCAATTTATTTCTCTAGTTATCTCAAAACTTAATTTGCACAGTATTCGTAGTATGTATTCGAAGATCCAGTTGAAATCAACTTAAACTAAAAAATTCATAAATTTCATATTTATTAGATTTCACAAATATTGAAATGAGAACTACTCTGGCGCTTCAGATGTATTTTTGCTATCTACTTTATGGGGAATATCAATTATTATTCAGGAATTATCCCACTGATTTATTTACATTTATTGAAATTTATTAATACCGACAAACTATTTCAACAATATGTATATGAGACTACAGGATTATTTTATTCACTCTCGTAAAACCGCATTCAATAAAACCTATAATTTCATACACAGAGATACCTTCATAAAACTGCAAAGAGTAAGAATATTGATTTGAAAAAACAACAGTACATTCACTCACATTACGTACAGAAGTATTGCATTTAAGCTATTTAATTATATTAATATCACTTAAACTTATAAGACATGATTATCAAATAACATAATACAACAGACATTAGAATGTGCAAATAAGTGATGCCCATCGGTCGCTAAACATTCAAAGACTCCAGTTAGCGATAAGGATACCAATCATTTGTCAGTCCATGTTTCTAGGAAGCACTGTTACCGTCAGTTAGGCAACATGAATATCATTGACTTCAATCAAACAGAATTGAGAAAATACAGTTACACTAAAAATAAATTAAAGATCAACGGCTTTCGTAAAAAAACATCTATCAGTTGAAAGGAAGAAATTTAACGAGTTTTAAATGCCAACTGTACAGGTAAACGATGTTTCAACTCCCGTAATGAATATGATGTACTTTGCGTATACATTTCCAATAAATTATTTCTAATACCTTTATTGTAGAAATTTCGATAATTATGACATGTACTAGTTGGATTTTGTCCACTTAATCTATGGTTCGACTTTAATTGTCGGTTTACGGTAGAAGGCATCATTGTTCTTTCCGTCATCATCATCACCATCTTGCTGTCAAATAATGAAGTAGAAAGGAAATGACGCTTTTTGTTTATTATCTTTCTATTCTTCTCCTTGTCATCATTATCATCATCATCATAGTTAATTGAACAATTTTCACTAGTAATCAGCTTCTTCCCTTGAAAATATTCATATGATGTACAATTGATCAAAATAAGCCAAATATGAAATGTTAAATAATTAATTAATAACATTACAACTACAATTAATATGCCAGTCAACCCTATAACACGAGGAAATGTCATGAACAAGTGCTGAAAAAAAACATCAAAGAGGAAATAATAACGATGATTATAATAACAATAAGTTAACATGTAATAATAACCATTATTGATAGTTAGATGATAAATATCAAATTATGTATAAGCTTTTTATATATAGATGCGTGTAAGTCATTATTAATGAACCAAATGTAATTGAAACATTACTCATAGGCGACTTATGTCAAAACTAAATATAGGCAATCAGTTATAACTGGTGAATCAGTTGAAGGAATTTTGAATCATATCTGTGACATATGCTTCATAAATTCTTTATCTTTTAACTCACAAAGTTCAATAGCAGTGTGCATAATAGTAGATTCAAAAAGTATATTCCTGATTTCGGTTAGCGAGGTCTTTGTAATTTATCATTGGAAACAATAGCTCAAAATGAATAGCGATAGCGAAGATGTATTTATCCTTTATATTCAATATAGAATATTTAGGAATTTCACACTTTCTTTTCGCTATGATTAACTTTAATCATCAGCTATACGACAATTAACGTTCTTGACCAATTTTTGCTTTCAGTCTAAAAAACTGGGTATCTTTATGTGACTCAAACCAAAAAGATCAATGACAAAATGTTTAGCTGTTACACTGTGACAAGGATTCAAGTCTCAAGGGAGGTATAACTCCCGTAAACATTGCAGATACACTTAGTTGACGAATACCAACTAGTATGAAAACTAGGTCACGCCTTTTGATTCCAAAAACAAAACATTTAGTCAAATATATTTATCATGCATATATATATCCACTTTACCATACTACTACTGTTACAAATATTATCATACTTGTAATAATGTTAACCAATCCATTGGGTGCATTTGGTCATATTCATCCAAGTAATGAGCTTGCCATAAATTTTCATGCTGAAAAACAGAAATAGATGAGTGAATAGTGCAATAATTAACGCAAACAGAAGATGAAATAAAAAGAGATAAGAGGTTTGTGGAGATTATTTAGGATTAAGATAGCTCAAGTTTAGACTGATAAACAAACAATAAACACAAAGAAGTACGGCGTATAGCTGTTTCATCCCATTTCGCAACTCAAAATATCAGTGATAAACCACGAGCCGTGGAATTTATTTATGCTAGGAGTCAAACCTCCAAAACGGGATTTGATAATAGCCAAGTATTGATGTAAATAAACTTCAGTTGTGAATATGTACGTAATAATGTCAACGATGTTTTACCTTCAGTAAAGCAATAACTAATCGTTTTGTTGTTTCTACTTTGTAAGTTTGAATTTTTTTATTTTTTCTGAGCTGAACTTCACGACACCTATCCCCACTTTTAGTGAGTTTCAGGAGGTCAATAATTTTATGGTCACTGCCTCTTTTAATGTGTTACTTGTATGCCATTTCTATGGTCGTCCAACACGTACGTACTTAAACACATGTGATATTCGCATGAAACGATCTTCTTTGATTTCTACCAAATAAATCCACCTTAGGAGATTTAACGTTTTCAGTAGACGTAGCTAGGAAGAATCATAGTGCCCAATTATCGTAATTAAAGATGGGAGCTCTTACGACCATTTCAAGACATATGGAACTACCTGGCCTTCTTATAAACTAACCAACTAAAAGGGGCTATCATTACGTAAACTGGGAAAGAATTATAAACAGGAAAAATTCATAACGATTAAGTTATATTACACCTGTGTTCGCTTTTTGATGAACAATTCGAAAACCGCAAAGACGATTTACTATGTTGCACTGAAAGAGAGTTTGCTAAAATTGTTTAGAATAACTTATTAATTGAAAATTCTGATTACTAAGGACTTGCAGGAATGCTTCGAACAATAGAAACTGAAATCGGACAAGTATCTTTGGAGTATTTTGAGAGGGATAAGATTAATGGATCGTGAAGTAACGTTATCACTGTAGTTTGTGTAATCACTTGAAAGGTTGAGTAATACTATGTGTCAATGAAATATGATTTGAATAATCTATAGAAATTATGATAAAATATTAACCTACAACAGAGAATAAATAAAGCATACGACAATTTAACCACAATGCATTGGCAATCATAAAACATAAAGAGAATAGAAATGTTATGAAAAGCCCATGATTTTGACCACCAATACAACAATTTGTCCAAACACAGTGATGATCAAATCGAAATATGCAACGGTCACATCGAGCTGAAAAAAGAAAACGATACGTGTTTTGACAAAAACAAATACAGAAATCTGAAATATATCTAAGAAAAAACAAAATATCATTAACAATCACAATCTGGAAATCCCTAAGTGCCTAAAGTACTGCTTAGCATGCTACTTAATGGCTCCTGCATCAAAGCAGAGTGCCTTATTTTACAAGTTAACTCCTTTGAGTTAGAAAATGATCGTTATCATCAAATTTATTTGGATAAAATATGAGAGATTTACTCAAAATACGTTTACTCATATCAAACTACATGAAATGGTGGAGGTTCAAAAATAACCTTAACAAGGTGGAGGCATAAATCAACATGGAATATCAGTGTGTTAAAACGAAGCAAACTACTTACTTACTACTAAAACAATAATAGTGAAACAATAGACCCCATTGTATATAATGCTTTCAAAGCAACTATCAAAGAAAACTACTGTGATATTCATCAAATATACCAGTTGGCTGTTAATTTTGTTACGTTGGAGAACAAGATTTTATAAATTAACTTTCATACTTCAGTATTCCGAAGTTTAGTTCCTTATAGGTTGCATTGCATGATACAATGTCTGACTTTAAAAGTTTAACTGTAAACAAAAATCATCCGTAGCATAATACATAAACACGGGTTAATAGACACATATCAAAATTAAAATTATACATGTGCACTTGATGATACGTGACAAACATGCACAATTCAACCAGTTAGTGTGGTAACTAACATTAAAGTAAGTGATCGAATTTCAATAAACAAGTTTAATGTGCTCAGAAGTGACTTAGTAAGAAGTAAGTTTAGAAGGACATTAACGGTTCCGTGAATGTTGATCAGAAGGGAACAAGTACACTAGAATCTTTCTATTGATTGTATACAATAATTTAGCAACAAATAAAAGAAACATTCATAGAATCATCTCTCTAAACTAACACGGTTCCTATTTTCAAGTGGTTAAAATAACCAAGTAATTTGAAAAATTTACTTGAAAATGAAAGATAAGCAAGTAAGAAATGAATAGAAGCAACAACACTTACAGCAATGTTTAGATCTAGCTGGAATGATATGACAGCATATTGTGCATTGTTTAGGTGAATAAATAAAATTATCATATTCATAAATATGTGCATAAACTGATTTATTTCGTGATGTTATAAAACCTACGATAAATAGGAGAGCGAAAATAATTCATAGTACAATAAATTCTATTAACTGAAGCGAAAGTATAACTAACCATACTATACAATAATCCGTTTAAGAACTAAACTAGTTCAGAAAATATATAAGGCAGTACCTGACTAATTAAATACCCGCTTCTTTTTTATTTTCTTGAAATTTAAATAAATCATTAAATTTGTTCCTTGTTTTTCGACAAGAACTTGAAATTTCGGGTTTAGTTTCCGTGAAGAATCATCAGATTAAGCATGCAGTTGGAGAATTTCGAACTGGGAAGAAATCGGTCACTGATTTGTAAATAATTTAACAAACCGATGAGATATCAATTTAAGAACATTTTTACTGCTTTTTATGTCATATTATAATATTTGTCAATAGCCTAAAGAATACAGCTTTTAACCACTGGATTGCAGATTCAAACCCCAACTCACTTCATCATTTAACTTGGGTTTGAACAGCTCCTCACAAAAAGTGTGGTTTAAAACCGAGTTAATAAATTCCTACTTCGTGAATAACTCGCTTTAAATTTAGGCATCATTGTACGAAATCTAATTTGAAAAAAGTATAATAAAATGCGCCAAATACAAATGAGAGAGTTAATTGTTTACTAAGGTAAATTCTAACTTAAACGATGAAGAGAAAACTTAGAATACAGTTGTATTTAAACCGCTTTCCTAGATTTGCATTCGATTCAATCGAACTGTCTTGTCTAAGTGAAGATCTGACCACATTCCCAAATATGCCACTAAATATTTCTACGTTTAAAATCGAAAAATGAGAATGAAATTTACTAGTTTAATGACTTTGAATAGTTTAAGCATTGAAAAAGACATCCATCTATGGTCTAACCTCAAAATACGTTCATACTCTCAGATTTGATCTTCTAAACTATTCAAATTTTGGGAACTGATTTTCATATCGCTTCAAATGGGAACAACAAGAAGTCATTAACTTTGAAATCACTACTTGGGAAAAATAAAAGGAAATAATAATAATAATTACCTAAAATAAGTTGGAATATCTAAAGATAATTTACCAAAGCAATACTTCCATGAACTCTTCATAACAATTCGAACAGAAACGATTAAGTTTATGGAGTTATTACTTTGATGAATTACTTACTGTAGTCTTTAACATGTATTTATGTACTAAATAGTTGTTTGAAGGTATTTTCCTATGTAGTCCTAAGTGTCAACTTTGTTTAGATTCACTAATTAGTTATATTGTTTTTCGTTAACAGAAAAAATTGACAATCAGTAAACTAATAAATGGGTCGTTGTTAAGTCGTTTGCTAACAGACTCCAGATATCCTTATTGTTTAGCATTCTTCTGACACTACCTCATTTGACTAGTCCCCAAAACAGAACACAGCATGGACAGATATGTAATTCTATTCCAAAGTAAACCAAGTTTAATCACAGTAAGAAAAATATTAATATATTTATAATTGTACACAAGATTCTAGAACCTTCTCTATTCATCTGCTAGTAATAATTAGCAAAGAGTGAGCCAATCAACGTACTGCGACACAATCCTGCAGTGACCATGTTTTGATTCAATTCATGTACCACTAACAGTGATTCATTAATAGTAATAGTAGGACAAAATTCTCTTAATTATTGTGTAGGAGTAGGATTTATAAACCGAGCTACGTAGTGACCTAGTTGAGTCAAAATAATGACAAAAATACTTGTGTTTATTCACCTGAACTTCTGTTGTGTTAATTTTAAGAGGCTTAGACTAACTTAAGCCAGAAAAGACTTAAAAACAAATGAGCACTAGGCAGCATTACAATATATCACTTACTTATATGATGGCTGAAACACTACTTAGACGTCCAAATTAAGGAGATTAGTTTCCTTGAAAAACTACTCCAAGAGTGTCTAAATGTCTAACCTATAAACTTGAGGAGCAATATCAGGAAGTATAGTTTTAGTGGCCTGTTGATCTGACCCCCCCTTTCACTATTTACGTTTAATAAAAATCACCGAGTTAAGTGAATCCACTGGGTAAAGGTTATAAATGGAGGGACCGCATAAACGCATCTAGAAAGAAAGGGTGAGCTATCTTCACTCTCAGTCGTACAACAGCACTTAGGGTAATACAAAAAATACTATGACGAATACAAAGCACATAATACCAATTACAAGCAGTTTCAATAACTAACCTGGATCACTAAAACACAACAACATATATAACAGACCATTAAGGAATAAACATCCAGATCCAAGAAACAGATTATTCTCTAACCAGGAATATCGATAGAGTACAGTTATAACATCCATTATCAATATATAATGTCCAAAAATAATACAGCTTAGATAAACGAATTGATAGACACAATGCCTAGAAACAGAATAGACATAAGATATGCATTAATTTGCATATTATTCTATCTTCGTAGACAAAAAAGTTTGCTTTACATGATTTAATTGACATTTTAACTAACAGATCTCCAGTTCATGAAATATACTTGCAAGACAAACCAACATCTAAATCATTCTCAAGCATTAAATAAACTCGAACTCTAGAACCATGAGAGATTGTCAGGACTAACTTGATGTATGATACATCCTTAAATACTCACTAATATAACAAAATTGAGGTTACTGGTAACATTTATATTTCTGACTTAGGCTTTTGTGCTTACAACACACTTGGATAAATAAATAAATATAATCAGAGAGCAGTTTTATGGATAATATAGTAATTTAATAGTTGAATTCATGAGTCAATTGAAGTTAAACCACAATGGAAAACCTGCAAGCACTGGATGGCCGTCTCATGTTAATATGGGACCCCGCAGTAATGTGCACCCACCACACGACACGCGGGACTCGAACCAAGGATTAGGAGGTGATATCTACTACATACACCACACTAGGAAGCGATCAATATTATCCATGAAGTCATCCCACATTTATTGTATTCATGATTTGATTCTACACCGTCTACTCCCGTTTTCTTTCCTTTCATTGTTCGTAGATTAAAACACAAATGCTGTGACGAATCTGAAATGATATAACGTTACACAGACGAGCTCGTTTTCTCGTAACATCAGTTTTTCTATGAATTGAAAGTTGAACCGTCTAATAGTATCAGAAGTTTATGATAACTTCCTATGTTAAGACGGTGCTGAAAAATCCATTAGATTTCTGGACATGTGGTAAAAGCCCTGGTGGACTCCACTATCGACTTACAGATATGTCCTCATACTTAGTTTTTTCAGTAAAGTGAATCCATTAATCTACCTTTCGACTCACTACAGTTCACAACGGCAACAATGGCCTCTATGAAAAGATGTAGACGAACAAACAGTACGTTCTAGCATGCACCTTTTATGGGAACCGTGTAGTGTAAAGCACATACAATAATGCATCCACACTTTACCGACATGTTTATACGATTGAAACAGTAATAACGGCATTATCCTTGTTAAACTAATCTTATATTCTGTACTATGAAACCATGTCATTTATGGTTATGCATTCAACATTCACTGAATATTTCACATGATTAGCAGTTTTGTCTTAAGTATCTAGTTTGAAACTTTTTGGTTCTATGAATGCGTTTTTGGATTGTAAAATGAATGAATTCAACGACAATCAATTGATGGTATGCAATCATATCAAGCAGCCGAGTAATGGCTACCCACGAGACCGAATTATTGTTATGAGCTCCCAATGAAATGATATTGCGTGACAAGACACCTACTCAGTAGAATTGGCTTTTTCTTTTGACAAAATAGCACCCGTGCATATTAAATTTTAAAGACGAGAATAGATATGACTAGAGGTCATTTTAGAAAATAGACAATTTAAGTACGTGTCAATTAATAGAATTAGTACCTAACTATCAGGGTTAATTGTCGCCCTATCATAATATCCGGAAGTCAAGATCTTTCAGAAAACGTACACTGAATTATTATTATCTGATAGCACGTATCAATCAGGCCAAATTATAAGTGATAAATGCTGACGAGCTCCACCCTATTGTTTAGAGATGTTTTAAGTACCTGGAGGAAACAGTCATGTATTTATGAATGAGTTTGTGTTTGTATTTCAATTAGGATAAGCTAGTAAAAGCTTACAATTAGCTCTTCATTTTTCACTGAAGTAGATGGTTTTACTCCCATATAGGAAGCGTATATATCGGTATCAGATTCGGACAACCGCATTACAACACATTACTTAACAATTAGTATCAACTTGATCATCCCTATTAACTGGCATGCCATATATGTTCATTTTCAGAAATATATTATCATTACTATTATTAACAGAGTTATAAAAACTGAATATATAATCATGTCATTTAGCTCAAATACTTGTATATGAATATATACATGACTAATGATTTGTAACAATAACAAGCATAAATATTAAAATCTAAGAAATAAAACAATAAATAATATGTGGATTACAAAATATAATTCCATATAAATTAATTGAATTTAGCAGAATGTGCATTAAATAATAAGACTTATTTTAAAAAACCCTTATAGCATACTAAACATCGGTACGTAACATTCATAGTCATTGATGCAATTTAGTCTTATTATCAACCCGATGGTTGTTAAACCAACTTGATTATCTTTATCGTTCATGTTAGCCATATCTGACTTCAGTAATGAACAACTAGATTTTGAAAAAAAACTTTCTTTCTTCATGAGAAACGAAATTCTAAATTAATAACAGTTTCATTTACAAACAACTGACACATCTGTGCATCCGCCCAACTTGCCATAGCAAATCACCAAAGTATTAGCAGCATTGAGAGTAATCAAGACTAAGCATAAAATATATGATTTGACTTAGTTTATCAAATCACTTTTGAGAGTATTTCGTTGATGCGTTTATAAATTTTGAAGCACAAGTTTAGAAATATAGTTTATGCCTTTATGCACCTCATTTGGAAAGAGTCTTGTCTATATATAGAGTAAAGGAAAACAAAGAATGACTGCAACTATGCCATGTCACTCAACTACTTCGAACAGTTGTTACAAGTATTGTACTAATAGTCATTGACTTCATAGATTGATACCACGCCATGACTTGTCCAACTTTAGCTTTTATTTTAAACCAACTCTTGTTTCATCTAACAGTGCACGTTATGATAGGCATGCGAAACACATGTATTTTCCACCTCAATCGATGAAAATTGATAGCAGCCTCAATGAACATGCTGATAAATAAGTACATTAGAAAACATGTTGGCAATGTTCTCCCTTTGGTAGTACGAATGTAAAGTGGAAACGATGTTTCTATGTGTTTATAAAGAGAAGAGGATATATTGAGTAAAAGCATAAAGAGACATGTGTAGGTTATCGTAAAATGATACTTCAGATAAATAATTAACATTGTATAGCTATTTAGATGTTTGATATTCAAGTGAAATAAAGGTCTAGTTAAAGATCAGTTGAATGAATTCAAATGAATCGACTAAATAATATTTCCTTATTTTATTTGATAGGATTAATTATCATCACAGATCAACTATTTCTAACCTCTAGTATGGAATGTTTAAAGAAACAGAGTATCATATATTCTCTAACAGTTTTACATTATATATCTTTAATGAATGGACTTTCGTTCGGACACCTTCACGAGATACTAATTTTATTTTCCGATTGAAGTGACAGTTTTCAGTCCTTACTTTATAAATTAAAGGCCTGTTCAACTTATTTATGTTTGGACAATTGAGTAATATTACTACTCGAATACACGTATACACACACAAACAATGCAGTTCAAACTGAGTACAGAAATCTACTATTTGGCAAATAACTGACATTGTGTTAAAATCAATTGTAATTCTATTTTACAGCCAAGAGAGAAGACAACAAACTAATCACAAAAGCAATCACAATAATCTGTCTTTAAAATGAAGAGAAATGTTTATGAAAACGTACGTATGTGTACATGTGTAAGAAGAGCTGAAATCCATCCAGTAAAGATAAAATGTGAAATAAGATAAATTAGGATTTATAAGAAGTTTTCTGGATAAACAACAATAATAATAACAGTAAAACAAAACAAAACATTCCTCTGTGGAAAATCATCAAGAGAAATAAAAGCAATAAAATATCACTAAATAATTTAGAAATAAAATAATAATAATAATAGTAATAATAAACAATTAGAGATTATAAAAAAATAACAGAATAGATAATTTCTCCCGAAGGAAATAAGTAAATCAAATAATATGTATCCCTATAAGGATGTATATACGAAGTAGAGTAAATTTTAAATCAGAGTCAATAATCAATGCGTCTAGCCTACACAGTGACAACAATAAATTCAAAGGTGATAATAATATAATCTGTCATGAAAAGAAAATATACTGATGATTATTAATTATGGGTTTTTCCTTTTATAATTTGTAAATATGAATGTTATTCAACTAACAAGTGTCTGAAATGTATCCCAACAATGGACTTTCTTTGCATTCTTTCACAATTTCCTCTAATGGATAAAACAATTGTTTGTTGAAATATTCTGTGAATACACGCGTCTAAACTTGTGACTTCTTGATAAAAGATCAAATGTTTTAACCACTAAACCATTGGGAACAGTTCATACTGTTTACAGCTATATATAATCAAGAAGTAACGAGTTTCGAGCTCACATTTCATTTGCTTAAGTTTGAACACCTTGCGTTTGTTATAGATTTTGATTCAATGAATAATCCACAGTTCAGTGATTGTTACAGTGGATTAATAGAATGCTGATCACAAAGATGAACACAAAGATATGAAGCAACCAATTAATAACTACCCATCAAACTCCATTACTTATTCAACTCCTTGAATGAACTTATATTAAGGACAGAATCATTAGCCAATATACCAGGGTTTTTCATCAGTAAAATTCTATACTTATATATAAAAATAATAAACGTAAAATAAATATGATTAAACATGAATGAGATTTAAACGACCGGAAGGTAGTTTCGTAAGTGCCAATGGAATTAAAACGTAAATGTCAGGTTTAATTTTCATCTACAATATCAGTTAATTTCACTAAAGTAATTCGTTGTGTAACTCGCCTGCTAAGTACATAATTATCTATTCAACTATGAAACACTAGATGTGTAGTAGCTAATCATACTAACAGACACATTAAATCGAAGTAGAAAGATAAGAACTGAACTATAATGGGCATTCTAACCGCTAAGTCACTACTCATTGGTCATTATCATTACACTGAAATATAAACAATTAAGACAAGAAATACTACGGAAAATCAAAAAAACTAACAGGAACGGGTAAATAAAGCAATCAACAAGACAGATTTCCATTCATCACAACTTTAAGCCATATTTAAATTTGTTCTGATTTTCTTCAG